TGTCATTTCAGAAATTAACTACTACAAGGCTCACTTTTATACCATCTTTAAGTATCTTGGAAGAATATTACTCATTGGAAATGCTTTAATTTATAATTCCTCTATTTTAATTCCATATGTAGAATAATATATTGTACTTTAAAAGATACCGTTGTTCCAAAGTGTGACACTTAGAAATCTGGAAATGACAAAATTTAGACCGATTTAATTCAGGTCTTTCTACATATTTCTGAATAATGTAAATGGTGGCATGCTAATTAATACATGAGCATGAGCTATGCTTCCAGAGGATCCTTACTTCTCCAAGGAAATGAAGCAGGTAGACAGTAATTCTTAGAACCTTTACTATATATTTATTGCATTTTACCTCTATACTGACTTTTTATTGAATATAACAGTATTAATTCTCTTGGGATACTTCTATGGTCTTTGTGACTTTAGCATATGATTTCTCATAAACAGTAATGAACATCTCTGTTAGATTTAGAGATGATATATTTTTTCTCATTTTGTAAGAGAGATTTCACAGACTGATCAAGATCCATCAAAACTGCCCACTGATGGTAAGAGATATTTGGGTGCTTTGCATCTGGTATCTGTCTTTAAGGAGCTTTTGATTACATGTTAAAAATATCCTTGTAATTGATTTAATTTTCCAGTATGAATTCCCAACCTGAATCCAGGCAAGTCATTCAGACATTTCAAAAAATTACTTATTTGTACAGAGGAAAGCACAGTGTGAAATTGCACTGAACCACAACTCATGCCATCAGCAAAGGTCAGGTCTTCATAGCGACACAGAGGAGATCCTTATCACTTGAACTAATAGCTTCAGTAGCTGTTCCTTCTGTGGACTGACTGCCCAGGGAGGCAGGGCAGATTTTTCCACTTGATTTCATATCCATTCACCATAGGAAAAGAGATAGTCACAATACTTCTTAAGTCACAGACAGATTTCCAAGGCAATGGTGCTTGTTACTTTGTTATGAACTCTGCTATTTTGTCTTTTGCTTGCTGTCTCTTCCCATTTTGCCTCTATGCACTTAATCTTGCTTGTACATTCATGCTGTCTCTGCCTTCTTTCCAGCTCTCCGTGAAGCCCAGGCTGCCTTGCTAACCCTTGAACCCCCAGTGTCAGATGGTGCCTTAGGACTGAGCAGTCCTGCCACGTGGGCTGTTTTTCCTATACTCTTTGAGCACAATATCTTTGGGATGGGCAGACATCTCCCTGTTCTTTTTCACTCCCAGAGCGGGTCCTAGCACGCTCTCCCAGGTCCTTTGGGAACAGTGGGTGGTCAGAAGATGGAGGCTGGAGAATCACAGAGCATCCATTTGCTGGTACATTGTTCATTCAGTCACAGAAGCTGTAAATGGATGCAGCACACTCACTACAGATGAACTCTGGAGAATGCAAGATATAAACACATCTCTCCTGGGCATAGCACGCAGTACTGCAGTGTGCACGTTGTGGTTGCGTTTGTGTTTGGGGGGGGCTGTATGCCAATCTTCTGCTTCTCATCGGGAAAAATGTTGAAGTCTTTGGAGGGTTTTTTTTGTAGACAGTGAAAATGTCTATTTTTCAGACTACATATGACTGAACTTTAGCTGGAACTTTTAAACAAACAACCAAAAAAAAAAATCAACCCGAGGTAGGTATCTGATAGAGGCAACTCCATTCCAAACTGCAAAGATTTAAAAAAGTAAAACAAATTGAGCCTTTGTTGCCAGAAAGTACTGGCAACATTATCTATAGATGCCAGTGTTATTTCTGCATATATTATCACAAGTTTTCATATATTCAAGTAAACTGTTTACATTTTTATGAAATACTAGAACAGAACCGTGATTCTGCACTTCAAGCAGTTTTGAAATAGGTGTCTTGAGCATGGCACACCTATGCTCTTTATCGATTTTTTAAAATCATTTCTCATTTTTCTTTAAATTGTACTTGTAGTGTTCTTCCAGTAATTAACATTTTACATTTGGGAGGCAATAGAAACATGAATCAAACAAACAAACTGGCTAATGTATTAATATCTGGTATAGACCTACTGAAGTAATATCAGACATTAAAAAACAACAACAAAAAAAACCCACAACAAAACACATCCCAACAAACTCCACAAAACCTGAACCCCAAATTTCTATTTTTCTTCCAAGTTCTAGTAGGAACAGGTCAAGGAAATGCATTTCTTATTCAGGATTAGTGACAGACTGGTGTTAGTTGATTCACAGATACCTATGACCAAAAGCCCTTCAGAAATACACCCAGCTTTTGCTAACATCACACAATCTGTTTATGTACTCCCAGACACCTACTATGGTATCAGGGTACTGAGCTTTGGTTCTTGTGCTTTTAACAGAGGAGGTATCTAAAGAGAAAAGGAGAAATTGTTGCAATATGTGCAAGTGTTCTCTAACATAGCACTGCTGGGAAACCAGGACTAGACCTCGTATGCTAACTACTATGAGCAGCTGTAAGAGCAAAGCTGTTTGTGCTCTGAGAAGTTTGCCATGTAAATAATACTCTTTCTTTCTGTTTCAGCCTTGAACTGTGATCGGGGTGGAATGAAACTTGGAAGAAAGTTGTGCAAACCATTAGGATTTAATCCCATACCTTTTGAAATTAATGTGAACATTCCTATAACTAGACGAATGAAAGATCAGGAGCTTAGAAAGAAAACTGAATCTTTGAAGGAAAAAAAATAAACCCAAACCCACAACCTAAAGAATATTAATAGGGATACAATAATTAGCACTTATGGAAGATATTTTTCCTGTTTCTTCACTAGATGATGGCTATTCTGGCTTGATTTTTCTCTTCCCACTTCATAGTTCTCCCTCAAATGCAAGTAGCAACATTCTCTTTAAAATCCAGAGGTTGAATCTCCCTCCTCTTCCTTTTTTATTAATCCTTAATGGACATCATACTCTCCCTTGGTGCCTATGTGTGTTTCTCTCTGATGAGGAAGAGCTGTTTTAGACAGTGAATTATACTAGTACCTTGTTTAATAACTAACCTAAACATTTGCCCTTGACATTCTCAGCACCTCAGTGCTAATTAAGCAAAATAAACAGAGACTAAATGGAAAGTGGGTGAAGTACTTATCCTTGGCTCAAAGATTTAATTTGGGATCAGCAA